TTCATGCACCTTCCATAATGTTGATGGCCCTTCTATGGAATGGATGGCCCAGATCTCTCACCCCACGAGTCACCTTGATCAACGGTCCATATTTAATCTCAAGAAAGAGGCATAACTATGAGAAACCCTAAATAAACTTTAGACCTAAATTTCACTATAAATAGGGGTGCTCTCCCCCGATCTCTACACACATCTCTCTCTCCCATAAACTCTCTCTCTTCCTTAGGAGCCACACCCCTCTCTTTACTTTCTGATTTTCTCTCTCTACTCTCTCTCCTAAAAAGACCCTAGGGGGTACGCCCCAACATAGAGACTCTCTATCTCTCATGATCTAATTTAAGGGTTGGGAAAATTAAGGTTTGAGCCTAATTATTTTGGAGTTAAGGTTTTGTAGAGATTTAAGGGTAGTTACCTAGTTTAGCCGAAATTAGCTTTCCTGGTTAGAGATCGAAGCTAGACTGCTGATCCCGCGCCATTGGATGTGGTGACTCGGTGTGGGGTGTAAAAAGCCCGATTGAGGTAATCTCTGACATCTTTTCTTTTAATTGTTTGTTCTTTTATTTTATATTCTCAAGCACAATATTAGTTTGTATGAATGGCATCAAGTAGTTGAGATTTATTTTATTGATGTGTTATTTATTTTTGGAATTTTTATTGCTTGTAACAAGACCACATGTGAGCGATCTTGTTGCCAAATTATAAGGGATGATTATTATTAAAAAAAAAAATTGTATTTCCCCAACAAAAAATTACATAGGTCTTTCTTTCATTGGTATCGGAGCTAGTTTTACTTGATTGCCATTAGGATTCTTTCTTATTTTTGCTTGAGAATAGAAATGCAATGGCAGCTCGTACCTTCATCTCTGAGATCCTGAAAACCGAAAGGTTTGATGGGACTAACTTTGCTTCATGGAAAAGAAAAATCAAATTTGTGCTTTATGAAGAAAACTTGCATGAGATACTCTTTGAGCACCGATCTCATCGTCCAACTGACAACTCATCTCAAATAATCAAAGATGAGTACGCCAACTGGAAGAGGAAGAACTTGAGATGCAAGCACATTCTTTTATATGTCATAACTAACTAGTATGTTTTTTAGTATGAGTCAATCTATACTGCAAGTGAGATTTTTTATAAACTTGAAAGAGAGTATGTTGAACCCTCTCTCATGAAGCAAACTATGGCCATGAGAAGGTACAATGATTTAAAAATAGTAGAAAGTACC